TATTATACGATTTACCATTCTTGAATTATACCCTGTCTATTAACTGCTACCTCCCTCATTCACAGATACATTTGGCTTAATCTTGTACAAATGTTGTTTCCTATTTTATTGATACGATGTGGTCTGTCTCGTCGGTATATAGACCCAGTATGCTTGAAATGCTGGATTCATCTTGCAGAGGCTCGGATTGGTGTTCTGGACTTAACAGGCAGGGATTAGGCAGGAAGCAGAACCGATTAGGACTCTAGACTGCTCGTACGGGTTTTACGCATCATTGGTCCGATCGATAATTCACTTCTCTCTTATTAGCGGTATCGTTACGTTATACATTAACAGGATACATAGGCTTCAAGTTATGACAGAAACTGATTATCAGATACCAACGAAATGAATTTCAGGAGATAGAATCATTAATCATGATGGAGTTTGAAAAGTGAACGGTACTGGGTTTGAATCCCAAAGGGAACATCAAGTCTAAGATGCATTCCGAAATAGAAGTAAAACACGCATCAAACTGAATTTCACTGTTAGCCACTATCTATCTTTGCTTTAAATTCTTTTGAATTAAGACAATATACATACATGCTAATAAGAGACTGATTAATTTCCGTCTCTGAGCAGCTCAGAGAACAAAACTCCATCAAAATCATCCACCTGAGCTACAAATCTTCTCCACCATCTCAATACAGAAACGTATCTGTTGATTAGAATGTGAACTTTAGACTCATGACGATAACTTCGGCTTTTCTCAAATCAATAGCGAAACTGTTGCTAATTACAATAAAGGAGCATATGGATCCATATCAGTTCGTTTACAGATGCCTAAGAAATGCTCTGAATGTTACTACTATCCTGTATCATAATACAGTGTTCATTTCAGGAAATGGTGAGAAATATATTCGATCCTTATTTTGAGACTAATTCTTCGTTTGATTTCATTTAAAGATCACTATTATTAAATGAATATGTCAGAGTTAGCACAGACAACTGAATGAATAATTGGCTATATCCTGCGTTTGAATGAAAGTATTCTAACTCTTTATTAATTCAAGCTGATGTGCAACAATAAGCAATTCTTTCCCCTTTCCATTCCTTCTTTTTTTCTGAATGATCAACTATCTTCTACAAAGAATACCTTTTTTTTAGATGGGCAGATGATCTTTATATGTATGTACGTCAGTTTCTTTTTTTTTTTTCGAATTCCCTTCAAACGAGTTCTTATCCTTCATTTATCTAATAGTCTCACACTTACTTACTTACTTTACTTACGCATGTTACTCCTCGAGAAGGAGCATAGGACGCTCACCAGCATTCTACATCCAACCCTGTCCTAATAGAAATCCTTTCCAGCTCTTTCCAGTTGTTATTCATCCTTTTTATATCCGCTTCTATTTCCCGACATAATGTGTTCTTTAACTTTCCTGTTTTCTGCTCCTCTTCAGGATTCTAAGTTAGCGCTTGTTTCGTCATGCAGTTTAATGATTTGCATAATGTATGTCCGAACCATTTCCATCGTCTTTTCTTAATTTCCTCTTCAGCTAGAAGCTGGTCTCACACTTAATCTTTTGAAATGTTAAAGTGTTAGTCTTAATTTCACACATCAACAGTACTTAAACATCCTATTGGAATGACATGAAACTTGTACCATTTGAGATTTTGTAATAAAATCTATGTTGAATGTCATTCATCTTGATGTAAGTTATTTATTTGATCCCTCTTTGTCTTTCCATGATTAACTAATATTAAGAAAAGTTCTTTCTGAAAAACTTTATTGTTTCTTAATTCGTGTTATTATCTTGATTACTTATAGTTTCTTCAATCTTTTACTCGTAGGCATTCCACTTCCGATTGATGCTACATACTACTTATATCTGTCAACATAAGTAACATACACCATAATCTAATGTATGTACATCAGTTGTAAAACTAATAAGTTTAGTTTCATTTTGAAAATGCACTGATAATCAGTGCAATTATGGTGTGTGCTACTTATGTAGACATAAGTAGTATATGATGTCTTTCGTGAACAGAATGTCTGGCAGCAGGGAGACAAGAAGATCGAATAGTAAAGAATGAAAACAGAACGCAATTCGTATGAAAATGCATGAACAAAGAAAGTCTGAGTCATTTTGAGACGATTGATGGATATTTTGCAAATTGAGCATTTACTACATATGGTTGTTAGATTTCACTAACTAGTTCTGTAATTTGTTGTCGAATATATTCGAGTGTTCCCATTGGTGTTCTTGTTCACTACACGATGATTAAATTATTCATTGCGATTTGATCAAGGAGAATCTTAGGTGGAGAGAAAATTGATGATCTTAGCTCACTTCATCAATGATCTCATACCCTATGGAATAAGTGTTTAACATCGGTTAAGGAAGAAATTTTTTAAAAAAACATCTTTCTTTCTTCTTTGGGCTAGTCTTTCACTTTATCAAACATCATCAGTATCATTAAAAGCGAGGGCCTGCCCACTTCACTCTCGGCCATACCAGGGCATTTATTCATATTAACTCCTAGTTCATGTATACATATATATATGCTTCATATTGTGTAAAAGTCTTATGCAATCTACTTGTAAACATGACCAAATACATACAATTTATTGAGTTTGAAGAAAAGCGCTGTTATTTCTTATGATGATTACGATTATTATCAGAAGGGGTTGTGTGGATAGTTTTAAGAAATTTCACTGGTTGAAATCATGAGTCGACTGAAGCTAAACCACCATGGAAAACCTGAAATTCAACCAGGTCTGTTGTGAGATATCCGCTCACTGAAGACAATAGTGTATGGTGGAGCAACTTCGTGGATTGGTTGAAGTAAGACATTAACACCGTTGGATGCCGGCTGACTCAGTGGTCTAGTTGGTTAAGTGCCTGGCGTGAGACTGATAGATCATGGGTTTGAATCTCACGGGTAGCGGGATCGTAGATGCGCACTGTTGAGGAGTCCCATACTCGGACGAAACGACCGTCCATTGCTTCCGGGTTTTTCATGGTGGTTTAGCTTCAATTGACTCATGATTTCAACTAGTGAAATTAATATTCCTTAAAAATAAGTTATACAATTCAACACACTTCTATCACAACAAAACAACATGGGAACAAATGCACAAATGAACAGGATTTTTCTAGTTAAAGCCATTACTTAAAAAACACATTCATTAATATGTCGGATAATTTTGTAATAAGATTTTACCTACTTAATAATGATTTAAAGTAGTTTATTTTTATTCACGAAGAAAAAATGATCTTTGTAAGAAAAGTCACTGAAACAATAGATTTCAAATCATAATCAAACAAAAACTTAACATAATGAGGAATGAAATCTAGAAGAGAAATCGATATAGATGAAAGAGATCACAAATGAAATAAGTATTATTTCTCTTCAATGTTGTTATTAATAAGACAAAAAATCTATTGAGATCATAAATCGACTGATGTTAGACCACTGTTGGAAACCTGGAAACACTGGACGGCTGTTTCGTCCGAGTATGGGACTCCTCAGCAGTGCGCATCCACGATCCCGCTCGTAGGAATCGAACCCAAGGCTTTCAGCTGAGTGCTTCCAGTTTTTCAATGGTGGTCTAACATCAGTCGATTCATGATCTCAATCGAAAACTTAATAATCTCCACAACCCTAATACTGACAAAAAATCTAGTTTAAATTCACTTGATATTGTTTTAACTTGAATCTTCCCATTGATGGTTAACATTGTGATTGATCAGTATCTTATTGTCATATGTGTATACTATTCGTATTTCTTTGATATTGTCTTGATTCACAAACATTATGAGCAAAGATGCATAGTGGCCAGTAGTGGAATCCATAATGCGTGTTTGAGTTCTATTTTGGACTCATCAGCTGGATGCAGTATACAAATGTGCTAATAACAGACTGATAAATTGCAGTGCTAAACATCAAGCAGATGATTCATGTAAATAATTAGTAAGTGAATCTAAACTTCATTTCATTGCACAAGCAAGTGGTTACCAGGATTCATTAGCTAAGTAGATAGGTGATATGGTGTTTCAAGCGAACGGTACTGGGTTCGAGTCGCAGAGTGAACATCAACTCTAAGATTTAGGTACATCCAGATAACGAGTCCCAAATAGGACGAAAATCATATTAAGAAATAACAGCGCTTTTCTTCAAATTTAATAAGTTGTATGTATTTGATCATCTTTACAAATAGATTGCATAAGATTTTTACACAATATGAAGCATATATATATATATATATACATAAACTAGCAGTTATTATGAATAAATGTCCTGGTATGGCCGAGAGTGGAGTGGGCCCGCCCTCCCTCTAGAAACGCTCTCACACGGCCACGCGTATACAACCTCTCCCACGGAAGTCCTACTCACTGCCTTCACGTGGCGGGGATGTTGTTTACGAAATTGAGAGGACGGAAAGCGAATGTCCGGCGCTATAACAGGATCTCAAACCAATGGTGCACATGGGCTGGCTCCAGTATCCTGCGAGAACAAATGACGTATGAACCAATCGTTGATCACCGACTGGCTACCATGGGACTGCATCTCCTCACGATGTTCCACTGCCTTGTGGATCAGACATTTAGGTCAAAGGCTCCCCCCTAAGAGAACCACGTGCTTCAGTCTGAGCACCTGGACAGTATCACAGCCCACACACACAAATAAAATTTTGTCTGACACGTATATATTTGGTGCCTCCTTGTACCAATATTTCTGTGTTCAAATAATTAAAATCATAAAAGAACTATTTAAAGACTAATAAATAAGATTATATAATTTATAAATGAACCAATCAAATTTAATAATAACAAATCTTGAATTTAGACATAAACTTCATTTATCCATTTAGCTAAATAGCATACTTGTTTACCTCCCTTTCCCTTAGTAACTAAGTGAATATCTCTAAGATCTCTATAATTATTGATCAAACGTTATTCATAAATGATCATCTCATTGAATAATGAATGTGAATGAAGAAGAAGAAATAAAATAAATCATAATGATGATATTTGATTGATTGAGTAAAACAAATGACTTAGATTTATATAAATCTAGCATAATATTCACATATTACGTAATAGACATATACATCATCATCATAAAATGGTAATCATTGAAATAAATGATTCTTATCCATAGGAATGAACATGATGAAAGAAAAAGAAAATGAATAAAGAAACAATAATATTTCATTTTTTATTTGATAATGGTTACCATGACAACAAACAAGAGGATGATTCAAGGAAAACAAAGAAAATTGATCAACATTCTGTGCACTTTATTTTTTCTCAACAAAAAAAAAACGATTGGCTATAAGTAGTATAAACAGATAATGCGAAAATAATCATAATAATGATAATAAACAAGAGGATAATCATTACTAGTTATATCTTTACATAAAACTATACTTTACATTTTGTTCTTTTTTTGGAGGGAGGGGAGGGCAAGATCTTTGTCAATCATTTATATTAACCTTATAGAAGTACATTCTAAGATTGTAATCTTTTTTTTTGATACATAACGACACAATACACGTTTATTGATTAATATTCAGATGAAGGAGGACATTTGTTACGTTAGTGACATTCTTATAATATTGAACAAAAAGTGAAAAAAAAACAAAATAAGAATTCAATCAGTTACGTAACAATTGACATGATGACGTCATCATCCTCGTCGTCATCGTCACCATCATCATCAAACTTACCATTGAAATATCATCATCTATGAATGACGATTAGTTCCAAAGTTAAACCTCTCTCCCCCTCACACACACACACATATATATATATGAATAATGTTTATTAATCATAATAAGTAGTATAATAATCTTTCAAATAAGTAGTATTCAATAATACATAATAAATCATTTACAAGATAGGCAGTTTGTAGACAAAATGCATATCATAGGCTTAGAGATTAAAAAATAAAAATGAAAAGAAAAAAAAGAAAAGAATCTTGTTCCTAAGCAAAAAGAAAAAAAAAGAGGCAAGCACATACACGCACACACACACAATTAATGAATGGAAACATACACACATAAATTAAATAAGGGGGAAATAAATAAATGTATAATAGATTCATTGAATGAGAACTAATTGAATTCATTCATTTACTATTATATAATCAATGTATTATGATAGTTGATTAAGATTAAGGTTGTTGTTGTTGTTGTTGTTGTTGATTGATTGGCATAATACCTGATGTTATTGTACCATCTGAAACTAATTTGTTTAAATAATCAAATTAAAATTAAGATTAAATTAAAGAAATCAAAAGTTAGACAATCATAGAAAACCTAGAAGTACTGGACGATCATTTCGACTTGGTGTGGGACTTTTTCAGCAGTACGCATCCACGACCCCAACCTCGCGAGATCAACTGATTCATTGTTATATATTCGTTAAGCGTGAATACTACTACTACTACTACTACTACTACTACTACTACTACTGATTCGTCTCACTTGGAATGGAACGAAGGATCAAGGATTCAGAGACTCGATAGGCTATTCTGGTCCGTTGCTCCCGACTTAGCTAACTCAATCAAGAAGTCTTGGTAAGACGTAGAAAGTCTATTCTACAGTCAACCAGCAGATACCAGGTTAATCAGGCACACAAATCAAGCGTATTGATACAAATATATATGATCGATATTGTCGTGGAAACTTTTAAACATTTCATTAATAAGTTCGTCTAGTGGTTAAGTGCTCGCGCGCGAAGCCAGTAGGTCCTGGGTTCGAATCTCGCAGGGGGCGAGGTCGTGGATGCGCACTGCTGAGGAGTCCCATAATAGGACGAAACGACCGTCCAGTGCTTCCAGGTTTTCCATGGTGGTCTAGCTTCAACTGACTCATGATCTTAATCATTGAAATTAATCGATAAAATAAAATTACAAAATGTGAGTTTTAGGGGATCTATCGTCCCAAACACTCATGATCTTAATGATTGAAATTACTACAATCTTCACAAAACCTCTTCTGATATTGATCAGTATATGCTCACTAGTGATTGGCTTCAAGAGGTATTTCTTGGAGTTCTAGTGATAAATAGTGACCAATGAAGTTCAACCGGATCTGTTGTGAAATAATAATTCATTGAAGATAATGGTGGATATGTCGCTCAATTTCGTGGATTAGTTGAAGTTAGACATTAACATTATTGGATGCTGGCTTAGTGGTGTAGAGGTTAAACGTTGGCGGGCAAGACTAATATCTTCTGGGTTTGAATCTCACGAGGCGAGATCGTGGATGCGCACTGCTTAGGATTCCTATGATAGGACGAAACGGCCATCCAGTGCTTCCAGTTTATCCATGATGGTCTTAGCTTTAATTAACTCGTGATCTTAACTATTAAAATATTAGTTTTAGATTATAAAAATATATGACAACATTTTACTGAATTCAACAGATAATCAGTTAGTTAAGATAAGAGTTAAACTATCCATTTCTAGATGACCATCTTAATAGGTTATTAATGGAGTCTCGAGATCATTTGTTTATAGATGAAGTCGATAAACAAGGAGATTCAGATGCAGACGTAAAGGCGAGGATTGGCAAAGTAAGGGAGGCATTCTTTCAGTTGAAGAACATATGGAACTCAAAGCAACTTTCAACCAAATTCAAAGTCAAAATCTTCGATACGAACGTCAAGACAGTTCTACTATACGGAGCTGAAGCGTGGAGAACTACAACAACCACCATCAATAAGGTACAGGTATTTATCAATAGCTGTCTACGCAAGATACTCAACATCCATTGGCCAGATACCATCAGCAACAGCCTTTTGAGGGAGAGAACCAATCAGCTTCCAGCTGAAGAGGAAATTAGTAAAAGACGATGGAAATGGATAGGACATACATTATGCAAATCATCAAACTGCATCACGAAACAAACGCTAACTTGGAATCCTGGAGGGAAGTGGAAAAGAGGAAGGCCAAAGAACACATTATGTCGGGAAATAGAAGCGGATATGAAAAGGATTGCCCAGGACAGGGTTGGATGGAGATTGCTGGTGAGTGGCCTATGCTCCTTCTCGGGGAGTAACAGGCGTAAAGAAGAAGAAAGAAAAGAGGTTGAAACTACTGAAATAACTAAGAAACGTTAGTTATTTTCTTTCTATTTTACTCTGTCAGTCAAAAGATCTTGAACTTTCTTGATTTGATAATATATTCTCTACATTTTTCAGTATGAACCATTCATATATTTAATCATATAAATTCTGAAGTCAAATTGGGGCTTATGAAAGTGGAATACTTCGTAGATTAATGGAGTTCACGTTTCAGAGCATTTAGTTGAGGCGTTAGGGAGAGAACAGAATTTATAGACGAGCCGGTCAGAATCGATTCAATAAGTTCAAGATCATGAACACCCATTTCAGTACCCGATGGATATGTACAAACAGTTTACAGCGGATTTCAAGTGGGACGTTATAATAAAGCGGTCACAACAGATGAGATTACCGAGAAGGTCCTTTATTTGATTGCGTTATTCAAGTGACTACTGGACAATGTACAGACTATCATGATGATGTGATATTTAGATGTATTATGAGTTGGAGGAAGAAGTCTGAAAGAACGGGCACTTTTTCTATTCCATTCCGATTGACACAAAGAAAGCTTACGCTAATTGTTGCAATCTGAATAATAAGTTCACCAGTAAACTAGTTGAACACTTTGAAGATGTTACTGAAGCTTCAGCAGTTCAGTGGTATGAGTACTGTGGAGACATATGCAAATTAAGGATTATGAGTTGAAGTCAGTCGTTTAGAGAGATAGAGAGAATCAAAGAAATCAATGAAACAGTTGTTAGAAAACACAAATTCAGTGAAGGAAGAGGTGTAAGAAAGGAGTGAATAAGCTACAGTTCTTTAAAGATACTTAGCAGGTCTTTGGTATATATGAAAGAAGACATTACCAAAATGTCAGAAATCAACGGGATACAACTCTGACACTAATCATATGAAACTATGCGCAACCGGGTACTACAATATACACAAACAACTAGAGGGCATATGGATTCCTGTCTAGACTTGGTTATGTTCATCGTGTTGTCGTTCACGAGAGACATTTTGTAACCTAAACACAGGAGCACACAACAACTGTTGTATTCTAACGATTAAGAAGTGAACAGTAACTTCTAGGAATTTTTTAAGGGAAATTATTAAGTAACTAGATTATATATATATATATATTCGTATTCCTTTCATTTGATCTATTGGCTATTGCAATAGGATTTAGCAATCTTAACTTGTTCCCGATTTATAAGTTACAGTCTCTCATACTCAGCCACTTTTGGCTTGATCTTGTATAGTTGTTATTTTATATTGCATGATGTAATACACATTCATTCGCCTGTATATGCACTGTGTATGTCCGAAATACATAATTCGTATAGTGGAGGCTGTTATCTGTGTTCTGAAATCAAAGGCCAGGGCTAGGTGAGAACAACCAATAAGAACTTAGAGTTGGCTCTAGGCTGTTCATGTTAGTTGACGCTTCATTGGCAATGTGTCACGTGATATTTGACGGACCATAGGACATAATGTCAACAATATAGAAGCAATGTAGTAGAGGCTAAACGAATTTCTATGACCTTATCACGACTCCAATAGTCAACCATTTTTAAGTCACATAGGTGAGTTCCTGTACCTTGTGTATTACGATTTCAGAACTGTAGAGCCTCTTTATAGCCTGAGCAAGTTTCTAAACCATGTTAAAGAAGTGTATCCACTCTTATTTTCTGGTTTTCAATAGTAAATTCTTACTCTATATAAAAGGTTTCCTGATGGGCTGCAATTTTTCGAGGTCATCCATAAATTATAGTCTCGCCAGGTATTTTTATTATTGCCTTAAGCATAACAGTTTCCAATGTCGTGTTTGGTGGTTAGAATTGTTAAAAGGAAACATTGGGTCTAGATTTCCTGCTACCTGACGCTTATAAGTAAGATGTATATGTAATCTCAAGGCAACTGATGTACTCTGATGGATTCGATTCCCTATTACCCAGTTTCATAATCTAAGATGTCATCAATGAGCTATTCAGGTCCTTAGTAAACTTCTATGAAACTGAAATATTTACAATTGATTGATAACTAAGTAGGAACTAAGGTCTTGTTTGTCTAGTGTTCTTTACAGTTGGTTGAATCCTACTGACCAGATTTCAGTGTGGTCACTAGTCTAAATGATTCAATATCCAGTGTACTATGTTGAGGTATTAACTGATTGGAGGTGATCGATATAAAACCCTGAACTCAGGGTTCGTACTATTTACAACTTGATCGATCGAATTCAAATATACCTAAGGGATAAACAAACACGATAATGATCACTTATCGGTGAACAATCAATGTAGATTATGGTTTTATGATGATCTCATGAATTATTGAGTTCTATTTAATTGAATATCATCTCCTTTGTTATTTTTATTATTATTCTATATGAGTAATAGTAGAATAGGCGAAAATGGCATTGGATAACATAACTTATCGTTCATTGAATTCATCGAATTATCTAGAAGAAAGGTTGAAACCCATTGTCTAAAACATTATCAACAAAGATGGATCATAAGTAGCAGTGGAATCTAATAATCGTGTTTCGTCCTATTCCAGACTCTTCAACAGGATATAACTAAATTCCATAGTTGGTGATCTTTCCTGTAGCATTCATCAGTAGCATTCGTCTCAAACACCATCCATTTAACTACGAAGTCTTGATAGATACTATCAGGACCAGCTGTCCAAAAATTGAATTATTCATTCCACAAACATTCTAATCAGTTATACAAATGATTTAAATCAAATAGTTTACTATGAAAGCTATTCATTTCTTCATTAACTCAAGATGATGTCAGGGGAGGTTGATTATGAATACAGTGGTCTTGAGTGCTGTTAGAGGTATGAGAGCGATTACCACTTCCCGGTTGCCCACACCGTGGAAGGGTTCTTCTGGAGGTACCTGTAAAAGAGATTGGATTAGAGGTGGTCATAGTGACCTGAGAGCGTGACCGCAGTGCCCAAGAGAGAGCTGTTTGAGGTCGGTCATACACGACCTTTTTATGAATAATTTTTGTGTTAGCTCTGTGCTTGTTGAGACCTTACCACCAGAGATGGATATTCGTGGAATAAGGCGAGGTGTACATTTTTAGGGTCGACTTTTTCTAACCCCACCCACCCCTCCTTGTGGGAAGGCAGCATCGCTGTTGTGCTGGTTGTTTAAAGGAAACAGCTTACTTGTTGAAGCCTTACCGCCGGAGACATATATCCGTGGTATAAGGTGAGGTGTACATATTTAGGGTAGACCTTTTCTAACCCCACCCACCCGTCCTTGTGGGAAGGCAGCATCGCTGTTACGTTGGTTGTCTGAAGGAAACAGCTTACTGCTGTCACAATTCTGTACAGTCAGCAGTACGACTTCTCCTTCGGACCTTGGATTTATTGCTTTTAGTCTTATCGCTCTTCAACCAACCTACCTAACTGACATGGTAGGACCTTGAGGAACGGTTGTTCCAGCCAATAGAACTCAGTTACTTCATCAAGATAGGCAAGCCCAACCATCACATCAAGGTAGCAACAACGGTAGGGATTCGAGATGATGATTAGAATACCGATAACTAGTAGAACATCTTCTTGAATAAAATTAATCTCATCTTTATAATCATTTACAATTAAACATCCCTAATCAATACAATGATGATACTTACCTGATGGATTATCTTTGTTTGTATTATTCATATAAACTAGATCATTGATATTTTTATTACTACGATATCGTTGAATTTCTTCCCATATAAGAATTTTTAATTTTTCTTTAGGAAAATTATCTGGTTGTTGAATAAATGGACGTTCAAAAACAGGCTATAAATGAAAAGAATAAGTAAATTTTTAAATGATTATATCATATATTTTGTGATGTGCATGAGTGTACTACTTATATCCATATAAGTAGTATATAACCATAATCAGGAAGATCGAGAAGGAAAGAACGGAAACAGAAAGCAATTAATGTGAAAATGCTGCGACAATGGATTGATATTTTGCCAATGAAATATTTACTGTATGGTTGTTAGATTTGAGTAAGATGTTCTATTATTTTGGTGTTCAGATATATTCAGATTATCCTCATTTATGTGTTCTCGTTCACTAAAATTGTTGATCAGAAAACTGTTCATAACTAATCCAGGAGAACCATAGACAAATTGAACTAATTGATAACGCACTAATCACGAAGTTTATTGATTATTATTATTATTATTTAAATATATAGATATTGGTACAAGGAGGCACATAAATCATTCGATTTCTGTGAGGGGTGGGATACTTCCCGGGTGCCCAAACAAAAGCAGATGATTTTCTTATAGGGCTACAACCGAAGCCTTCGACCTGAAGCTCTGAACCACAAGGCAGAAACGTAAAGTGATGCAATCCAATGGTAGCCGGTGACCAACAGTTGATTCGTACGCCATTTTCCTTCAAGATTCTGGAGTCTATGTGCACCATTGATCTAGGAATAGGGGTTTTCCAAGTCCCCAAGGTGGATCCTGCATTTCCCAGATATTCACTTTTCTTCTCAATTTCGTAAAAAACACATCGGCAACAAGAAGGCAGTGAGTAAAACCTCCCTGGGAGAGTCTTTAAATTAAATACTTACTGTATAATTCTCAGATTTCCTTTAATTCTGTAATACGATTGCCTCACTTGTGTTTTCATTCACTATGAAGTTTGTGTATCTCTGAATTTACCTAATTTGATTGGTTAAATATTAAAATTTGATTATGACAAATATTTGTAACTTCAGCTAATCCACGAAATTGAGTGACACATCCACCATTGTATTCAGTAGGTTATTATCTCACAACAGACCTGCTTGAACTCCACTGGTTACTGATGAGTTCTGGGTTCGAATCTCCCTAGGCAGGATCGTGGATGCGCACTACTGAAGAGTCAGATGACCTCACCCATCTATCCCACACACATCAACAAATGCAGGTCAATACAAACAGTGTAGTAGCAGCCTCGACATCAGTAGACATCGACATACAGAAGGGAAAAAGCATGATCCTCAAATACAACATGGAGAATATCAACCCAATCATACTTGATGGGGGAAATTCTGGTAAAGGTGGAAACTTTAATGTATCTGGACAGAATCATCGATGAACAAGGAGGATCAGATGTGGACGTAATGGCGAGGTTCGGCAAAACAAGGGTCTCATTCCTACAGTTGAAGAACATATGGAACTCAAAACAACTGTCAGCCAATATCAAAGTCATGATCTTTAATACGAACTTCAAGATAGTTCTACTGTACTTGGAGAACTCCAACTATCAACAAAAGTACAAGTATACATACGATGCTCAATTTCTATTGACCGGATATTATCAGCAACAGTCTACTATGGGAGAGAATAAACCAGCTTCCAACTGGGGAAATTAGTTGTTGTTATTATTATTAGCTTTATCCAGTATCATATTTTTGGTACAATATAGAATTCTCAGAGCAGATCATTTCAATAAGTTTCTATTTCTTATTCGTTGATCGATCCTGACAATAAAAATTGAGTGGTTACCAGTTAGATGTTAGCAGTTCAGGAATCGATATCCAAATAGTGTACATTCTTTTCGATATATATATTGCCAGCAACCACAACGACTCTGGTTGTGCTCTTTCCTAACTTGTCCAGTAAAAGGTAGTGAACTTTTCATAAACGCACCTGAATAGGTTGCGCAATTATTTGACATAATGATCTGTTGACACAAACGAAAGACAGATAACTTGTTGAAACATCTAGATCACAGGATCTGGTAGTTCAGATATTTAAACAGGTCGCCTAGGAGTGGTGGAAAAGATTATGGAAGTGAATAGGATATACATTGAGAAAATCAAACTGCATCACAAGGATAAGTTAGGCAAACAGTTACAAAGTATAGATATATCTACAATATCCTTGGAAGTGAGATGAAAAATTAACATGTGGACAGTGTAGCAATACAGTGAATGTTGAGATCAGATGGTGGTTGAAGGTAGTCGACAGGAAATCCTGGAACCCGGTTTCGTTCTACTTGGCACTCGTCAGCAAGGTGTACCTATAATCTTGAGGAAACTGATGGTCCCTGACGGATTCGATCCCGTGTCACCCAGCTTCACAGTCATAGAAGTTACCACTGGTTGATAGCATTCGATCTGCACTAAGAAGGACTTGACACACATGACATTGATCACCACGCAGTGATCAATCAATTGTGATTACATTTCAGTCCTACAGGAGGTCGGTCACGGCCCGGATAGCTCAGTGGTAACGTCTCTGATTGTGAAGCTGGATGACACGAGTTCGAATCTGTAAGGGACCATCAGTTCCCTCAAGATTACAGGTACACCTTGCTGACAAGTGTCAAGTAGCACGAAACCTGGGTCAAGAGTTTCCTGTTGACTACCTCCAACCACCATCTAATCTCAACATAGTGAACATGGTGTCAAGTCAATTAGACTGGTGGCCACATTGCAACATGGTTGATAGCATTCGATGTACACTAAAAAAAGACTTGACACATATGGCATTGATCACCATCCACTGATCAATCAATTGTGAATATAGTGAATGTTTTTGACCATGTTCAAAGAAGGTATTTCCGTGTCAGTTTGTAGCTAAAACATGGAAATTCCTACTTTACGGAAAGAAAAGGCAAGATCAATTAGCTGATGGATTTTTTTTTTTTTTAGGAAGAGTTTCAAATATCTTTAACATCATGAAACACATTTAGTTAATGTTTACAACTAGTGTCCATCATTGATATGGATGTTTTTGAAGAGTTTTTATATCTTCAGCTAATGATCCCACAATCTATGGGAAAACACACACAAAAAAAAATTAAAATAACTAAATTCCCGAGAGTAAGCTATGATCGGTGGAGATTAATCAAGCCACAAGTAGGGCAGACAGTCATCCAACACCAGTAACAATGAATAATGAATGCATAATATCGATGATTGGTTGAAATTAAAAATGTTAATCATTAGATGGAAACTTGCAAAATGCTTTGGATTCGTTAATTAGACACTATAAACAACAACAATTTACTGTGGAAGAGATTTCAGGGGAAGAAGAAATTAGAAAGAAGCGCTGAAAGTGAATAGGACGCATATTGAGTAAAAACATCCAACTACATCACAAGACAAGCCCCCCACCTGGAACTCTCAAGGCCAAAGGAAAACAGGAACATTAAAGAACACATTACGTTGAGAAATGTAGACAGATACGAGAAAAATGAACAAAAATTAGATAGAACTGGAAAGGAAGGCCCAGAACAGAGTGGTTTGGAGATTGATTGTCTGCGGCCCATGCTCCATTTGAAGCAATAATAATAATTATTATTAATGTGTGTGCTACTGATTTCCATACCTATAAGTAGTATGTGCCATTAATCGAAAGTGAAATACCTGACAGTAAAAGGTTAAGAAGAACAAAGAAAAGAGTACGAGAATGAAGAATGATTATTGTGGAACGATGAAGTCTGAGACGATTAAGTATTTACTGTATGATTTTCAGATTTAGTTAAGTGTTTCTATAATTTTGTATTCATATTACATTCGATTATCCCCATTTGTATTCCCATTCACTATACTACTACTGTATCGTTCTACTTATATCTGTCGATATAAGTAGTATGTAACATGAAAACAAAGTTAACAAGATTAAATTGAAGGAAACAGAAAGGGAAATATAAAGATATTAAGAATTAAAGGAATCATGAAAGATGTAAGAAGGACTAATGTTGGAAGATTTGTAGATGAATTATTCAATGTATAATTTTCATATTTCATCTTATTCATTTGAGTGTTTATTCACAATTATATATATAATATACCCTTGTGAGCCAGGGTAATTTTACATGGATTTTCACGAAAACCAGACACCATCCAGATTTTCACATGACAACGCAAACAGTACAGCTCAATCCCACTTCACAGGAGAGCCAAACATCATCGAGGCTTAAACATTATAACCTGACCATTACAGGTCAATCCTGCTTCACACACAGGGTGTTTATTCACTATACTATTATTATTATTTAGGAAGAGAACATGTGATTAACTTTGGGGAAATAGAATTAGGGAAAAAACAAAACATTATGGAAAAGCATACAGTTACCAATTACATCTACGTCATATCAACAAAACTATAGATTTACCAAAAAAAAGAAAAAGAAAAAAAGAAAAAAGAAAGCATATTGTCTAAATTCTAGGTGAAGTAACCGCCATGCCTAGACAAATTACGTAATTCAGTTGTCATTCAATGGGCTTATCATATAGATGTGGATGATGATGATGATGATATTCATTGTAATTATTAGATGTAATTGTCTGTAATTAGGACTGAAAAGTAATAATGATTATTTATGGATGTAATTAATAATTAGTTAATCATAGATAACTATGTTTAGTTTGATTAGGAAGCACCTTAACGACACACACATACATACATACATACATACATACATACATACATACACAAACAACCTCGTAACTAATTCTCGTGATAGGTGACATTAAAATCTTAGATTATTGGATCTCAACATTGTGATATAAGGGATTATACGCTACAAGGAGAATCTATAGTCTCTTGTGTTGATTCTTGATGAGGTTGTAAATGTATATATATTAGTGAGTCTTGTAAGTAAAAGAAGATGGATACAGAATGTTTTGTCTTTCAATAATATCTTCAATGATACCGATTTATGATGAAACTCAATTGGAAATGAAACTTATGATTCATCCTGTAGATCTTTTCAAAATGAATACAAATCTCAACATAAGGTAAATCAGGAGGAGTGTCTATAGGGTTAATGACTTTATTAAG